AGGTTAAGATGAGTGGGGCATGTATCTCGTAGCAATCCATATAAGCCTCTATAAAACAATGAATAGACCATGTTCAAGGCCAAAAAGCAAAAGAAATAGCAGAGATGGAATAGGCTTGGTTAAAGCTGCAAAAGATTTACAAAGTCGATTATGCCAAAAAAAATAATAAAAATACAATCCTCTTAAAAAATATTATTATTGCTCAATACGATTGTTCAAACAAGTTTTGACCTATCCACGGCAGGCAATGAAAATCTCGTAATTTCTTTTTAGTAATATTTACAATGGCAAATAACAGTTTATTAACTAGTAGTCCTAATTCATTATCATTTATAAGTTAAATATTCAGTTATACTTTCAAACAATCTTCTTTGATAGCTAAATTAAAATCAGTATATGGGACCGGAATGTTCGCTGTCTCGCCTGTGTATAAAGAATTTGTGTATATTGCCTCATTAGATACATTGTCATTTTTTTTTTTTTTTTTAATGTTCTGGGACCCCTTTGTGTTTTAACTCCTATGAATACAAACTCTTTTTCGTTTTTTAAAGACGTTTTGTATAATTTAATTATGTCTAATAGGATATTATTACTGTTTATGTTTTTATAATTATTTATCCTCTGCAAGTAGTTTACAATGCCTAGTAATATTACGAATTTACTTTTTTCCGATGACTTTATATATTTAAGTTCTTCTAAAATAGCGTATAGTTTTGATATGGAGGATGTACAACCCTATGATAATCTAAACTTGGCGATATGTTCCTATTTTGGTACATATGTTAACAAATAAATTTTAGCACTTGTGACAAGTTATACAGAATACTTTTAAATACTTTAAACTCAATAGACTTTAGCTCTTTTTTGATGTTTTCTTTGAAAGATAAGAACTTCCTTTTTGAGAAGAGTTTGTGTCGCAAAGTTCTGAAAGGGTAATCTAAAAGTCTCTCACATTTAAGATTAGAATTCTAGAGTACATGAGGAAGCTGAAGAAATTGAGTTTTGATATTCTTAATGATACAAAAAAGAGGAGTATGTTAGCTTATGACAGTGAATTTTGAGATAGGTATGAATTAAAACATTCAAATGGCCATCTTAATTCTCAAGAAAAAAATCTCATGTTAGATTTACACTTTAAGCAAAAATTTTAATCGATAAACGTTTGATAAGTTGTCGGATTGACATAAGTTTAGTGACATTAATAATAAAATTCAATATAATAAAACTAAATGAATTGACTAATTAGTTACAAATTAAACCGTAACTTTAGTATTTAAAACTTTATTAGCAAGAAAAACTGCATAGCCTTAAAGAAGTAACTCATCCTAAACCTAATTAATTAATATATTTAAAAAGAGAGATTCAAATAAAAATTTCCCAGACAGAATTTATACGCTCAATGCCCCAAGCATTTTTGATGAGAGAGTTAAAAGCATTGTATTTTAATAAAGACATAATTTATTAGTTACATTATTAAATTCATTTATTATTAATGGTGTTTTGATAACATTATTTAAATTTATTCGCTTATACTGGAAAACTGACTGACATAACTTCATCTTGAATATCACATTATGTGAGGTCTCAACATTTTGCAAATTGTATCGACGAAGACAAATGTAAAGATTATTCCTTGTGATTACAGTTTTGATAAATGAGACAATGTTATTTATTATAATTTATTTTCCTTTTTACATTCCATATATTTATTTTTCTTAGGAGAATTCAGTTAGTGGGAGTTTTCAGTGTAACTTTGTTGGCCGATTTTCAAACATTGCAGATGCCGAATAAGAGATGAAAATGTTGTGAAAAGTGGCGCACCAACTTCGAGATAATACTGAGTAAGCAGTAGTAAATAAAAATTCATGAAACAAAAAAAAATATTTGTAAATTACAGTTAACTCGGTCAAAAAAATATAATAAAAGTAAAGGATCCATTATATCGCATTTTTTTTTTTCCTTTAGCCATTTCATGACATCATCTATAAGTTGAGAGTAGGACTTCAAACTACGCGCAATAAATTCTCATAAACTTGGATAATTAATTTCTAAACAGTATGCAGTTATCAGTATATATGTGTAAGAGCATAAAATGTATCCATTATACGAAGTTAAATTATCTAGTATAATACTTAGAAGTAAACGTAAATGTGTATGCTTTGATCTGCATAAATTTAAATATGCATACATTAAAAATACTTCATATATTCAGTAAGTTTTTAACTTTGAAATATTGAACATATTTTTTATGAAATTAAGTTCATGTTTTTTGCTGTAGTATGTAACGTAGCCAACATTACATTTAAAAAAAATCATATTCCTAAATTAATATATTATATCACCTTTCATTAATGTTTTATACTTTTGAATAATAGCATTTTATTTTCTTTGCCAATATTATATTCGTTAATCAATCATGTAATATATAATAATTGCCTTATAGTTTCCGCCATGTTGATACCTGAGCCCCGTCCCTAACGAAGCAGGAAGAAAGATATTTTTTAATACTATTATGCAAATTGGTTACCCACATACAGGGTTGTAATTTCACACAAAAAATTACTATGTTGATCTATTCATTGTACGAGTAGCTGTATTTCTGACAGACTCAATGTTATTATCCATTTCGAGTTGGGCTTTATTTTATTTAAGAATGAAATCTAAAGTTAAGTTAAATGAAATCTATTAAATTTGAGATATCACTTAATTTACATGTTTTATCATTACCGTACTCCAAAGAAAATAATGTAACTAATCTCTTCTTGATGCAGTAATGTAAATTTAAAAATATCAAATCTTCTCATTATGAAATTACAATATAAAAAATGTGTGAATTTGTATATATATATATATATATATATATATATATATATATATATATATATATATATATATATATACAGCAAATACGTCTGTAAGAATACTACATCTCGCGGTCAAAATGTTTCATGGTCTGTAGTACCACCCGAAAAAAAAAAAAAAAAAAAAAAAAATATATATATATATATATATATATATATATATTTTTTTTTTTTTTCGGGTGGTACTACAGACCATGAAACATTTTGACCGCGAGATGTAGTATTCTTACAGACGTATTTGCTTGCAGGAGCACAGCCAGGAGGAGGATCACTCAACCTCACGTTGCTACGAACCATGGTGTCCATGGTGCAGCGAAAGGCCAACCCCCAGCTCCATAGCCACCCCTTCGGGAGCAATCTGGCAGTGCCCTTCTCGCCGACTCACACGGGTTCAAGGACAGTTACAGACCGATCCAGATCCATGAATTATGACTGTTCAGATATAGCAGGAGCGCGAGGACCCATATTTCTTTTCCCGAAACAGACCTTCCATGGAACAAACCTCAGGGAGGCCACTGACATCCTAGATCACATCCCCGATTAAAGTACCCGGCGTAGGATCATCAGACCTACACCCTCGGGCAGCGATACTACCCTTGGCGGACGGCCACCCCTCTAAGTACTAACCTTGATGGATGTTTCTTAACTTTGAGCCCGCACGCCTAACCCAGCCAGCCATATATATATATATATATATATATATATATATATATATATATAATTATTTTCATAGACTCGGGTATAAAATCATAAAGAATATAATAATTTTTTTTACCTGTGTGTAATTTCATCTTTTACCGCATCTCCAACCAACTAATAAAAAATAAAAATAACGGAGCTGTATTGTTGTTAAATTTTTATTATTCTAGTGATGTAAAAGTGATATTTTGAGTTGGGTAAAATTTAGAATAAAATAATATTTGTAGACAAAAAAAAAAAAAACATATGCATATATACGTGGTGGTTCGGGAGGAACGAAGAAAGCAATATTTCTAATATTAATAACTAATTGATTAAGGGGTCTGATTTTATTAATTATTATTATTAGCTCTCACCCGGTGGTACAATCATGACATTTTATAGCAGAGGGACAATAATTAGAATGATTATTAAATAAGAAACACAAATTTTGATATAATTTATATCATTCTAAAACTTCTATCAATTCAACGTTTTCTTAAATGATAAGTCGATTTTATTAAACACATATTTCTGATGATTTAACGTGATAAAGCATTTTATAAATTTTTACAGTTGCATTTTTGTTCTACTGGATGCAATTAATTTCTATACGTGTATTATTTGCTTTCTGCTAATTGCCATACAATTGTAATGAGCATGCGTTAGGCACATCATAACGCATGGAGGGGGAATAATTTGATTACCTGATAAAAGACAAATGACTTCTGACCTCAGTTTCATAAACTAGAATATTAAGTGGTAAGCAATCTTAGTAATCCGAACTAATTGTTGCTGTTGAGTGTACGGATTACCAAAAAGTTTGTATTACATAGAGCGTTCTGCAACAATATGTAAAATAAAAGATTAAAACTCATTACAGCCGGCATTATTAACTGCATGTGTTAACTTGAATATGTAATTATAATATAAAAACTATGCTAATTTTATCATTTTAATTTCTGCAGGATTTTTTTTACTGTGATTTTCTAAATAATAGTAGGAAAAACTTTTTTTATTTATTTTTGTACGCATATTGATTTCTTGCCTAAGTAAAATAAAGTAATTTAAACAAAACAAATGAGTTACCGAATTACCTTCCTCTTTATCTATAAAAAGAGATAAGATTATATTTAAAGAATTAGGCTTGGCAGGTAGGCATTGTTCTTTAGAAATTGATTAGAATCTTTTCTTGTATTTTTTTATTTTTTTATTTTTTAATAAGACGTCACGATTCATTTGTTCAGATTTGTCCTTTCTTCTTCATCTTTCTTCGACAACTCATTGGAGAGTCAAGACTTCCCCCAGTCGACGCGGCCAGTATTAAATTTTTTTTCTATTCCCATTTTTTTTTTTTTAGTATTCAAACTACTCAGATCACTATCTGCCTCTTCTTATGCACAAAAATTAGTTTCACTGCTAAAAAAAATAAATGCAACTAAAAGGCAAGTGGCAACTTACCAACATTGGCAGCTTGTTCGTGTTCAACCGAAAACGTGAGCAGTAAGAGCGCGAGCCATATCCCTTTCGGAACTGCTCCAGACATCTGCAACAAATGTGAATAATTAAACATAAAATTGTCAAAAATGTTTTGTAAACACAGTAAATATAATATTACTAGACTAACAGACCTATGCGAATGATTCGTGCGATATATTGAAGTTAGTGAACTAATGCAATGTGATACACAAGTAAGGAAATAGAGAAAAGGGGTAGAACTTTTTTATTTACTTTTTGCTTTAAAGCTATTTATTGAAAAATATTGTTATTTTATTTCATATTTTTTTATTATTTTAATAAATTTGTTTTCGGGGAATGCCCCCCCCCCTATACAAATAGATTCGGCTATAATGATAGCAATGAACAAACTAATATGAAAAACATTTACAACTTATATACAAAGTAAAATTCATTAGGATTCAGTGACATCCTCTCCTGATAACAACCAAGCATCTGACTATGTATAAATATAAACAATGAAATATAATATAATACCCCACATAATACAATAAATTAAAATAATACATCTGGATATAGCGAGCAATAAAATGACAAAAATAGTTATTACTATTATTATTAACTAGTAGGCCCGTGCGAAAAATTCGCACAGCATATTGTTATCAAATGGTAGATTAATTAGAAAATAAAAAAAATGCAACCTATCAAACACACTCAAGACACACTGTTGCTTTTTGCTTAAGTCATAAAATATATCATTCTTGTTTAGGATTGATGTTACTCTTACGTGAAAAGTTTCTTTCCTCTACGATACCTGTAAAAAAATTAATTATTTATTTCTAAAAATCAACGAGTGAAAAAAAAACAATCAGCCGTTATAAAAATTGAAGTATTTTTATTAGTGTTGTAAGAGTTTGGAGAGGATTTTTCTTTAAATGAAAACCTATTTATAACTAATAATTTACTTCTAATTATTGAGAAGTTGGTATTTAAAATTATAATAACTTTACTTTTACAGGTTTGTGTGCTATTTGATATAAACCTCAACTTTAACCACGGTCTGTCAAAATTTGAGCCATTTTGGTATTGTGCCATCTTGTCAAAAAATGTGCACAGTAGATCAGGACTAACCAAATATGGATTGAGGTACCACAGGGCTGTCTGGCCACTGAGGAATTCTACTATTTAAAAAAGAAAAGTCTTCTTTAAATTATAATCTCGAAAAACATAAAAGTCTAGCAAGATATGTTCCTTATGCCGTTCTTATACTCTCTACTTACCAAAAGCGTAGAGTGTTGGCACTTAAAACTTTTTCTAAACATCTAACTTATTCTATCACCATACCTTTTTCAAAGTATCCGATTTGTTCTAGTCTCTTTTCTTAAGTTGTTCATAAAATTGAAGAGCAAATTTCAAATCATCATCTACTCTTTCTAACATATAATAAATTTTAGCTTCAAAGTTTTCTTTCCCGTTGCTGTTTAGCTCACTTAAATCGAATCCATTGTACACTAAATTGTGATAACTTTAGTCTACGACCATTACCAAAAAAACGAATGATCTTTGTTAATATGTTTTTTAAAGCTGTTTTCAAATTGGGAAAAGGGGAGATTTTATTTTGATTTACAGGTAAAATCTTTCTAGGAAATCCCAAATAGCCTAAAAAAACTTCCGTTGAATCTTTGAAAGATGAAAAAGCCTACTGCATTCTATATGTATATCTTGAAAAATATCAGAATTAGTAATACATATTTCAAAATTATTAATTACTAAAATCGTAGTAATATCAAATGTGTAAATGCCCCTTCTAAAAAATTAGTTTTCATAATAATTTAGTATCAAAGGTAATCAGTAGCAGGGCTAGTTGTCCAATTAGAACCGCTGATTAACGTCCTGGTTTTAATAAAAATTTCTTCGATTAGTCTGACCATATAACCACGAATTTGGAATGGGAATTTAAACGCCTTGAAGCTAAACAAAATATTTATTTCTTCACACACACACACACACACACACACACACATATATATATATATATATATATATATATATATATATATATATATATATATATATATATAGAGAGAGAGAGAGAGAGAGAGAGAGAGAGAGAGAGTTGGGCACTCAAAAATAATAAATAAGAATAGGGAAGACCGGGTAATGTAGTGTGATTTCGGTTTAATCCCAACTTACTTATCGTTGACTAAGAAACATTATGGAAAGTCCGCATGAGATGAGTTTGTCGTGGGAAGGGGAGAGGAGTAGAGGAGGAACGAAATGTGCAGTGGCTAAAAATTTTTCTTACGATCACCGAATTAAATAATAAGTAATTTCTTTTATCAATTTTCGTTAACTATTTTAAGTAAACTGAACAGGGGAAAACAAGAGGTGACCAGAAGGGGGTATCGTGAAGCAAATTGCGCCTTCAAAATGTTTAAGGGGGGGAGGTCACATTTTGAGTTTTTTTTTTTGAAGGGAGCACATTCTAACAAGGATATGAATTTCTAAAAACTTTTTCTTGCATTGCTTTTAAGAAGAGAAGAGCAAAAATATCATGGAGAAGAGGGAGGAGGAGGAGAAGAGATATGCACTATCGACTTTGGGGGAGGGATGGGCACTCGTAGGGAAAATTGTGACAAAAAACGTAATTATGAACGTATGCATAGCGTTTTGGGAAAGTGGAACTTAAGTGGGGGATGGCTGAGCGAGCTCCTTTCCCCCTACAGGCAAGCACATCTAAGATTCACTATACTTCCCTTAAGTGCTGATCCCAAGACCCATCATCGATTGTAGTGCAGTTAACATTAGTAATATATCTGTATATAAATCATTAATAATCGAAAAAACATACATATTTTAAATTGAGCTTTATTAATATCAAATATATTAAAGCACCTATTAATAGATCTTTCTCTTTAATTAAGTATTTTTCTACGTAGGTTAACAGCCAAATGATTTCCACAAATATCCTCATTAATAGTGGCCGAATATTTTCTACTCTGTAATATTACTTAAACTAAATACGGAATATTTATTTTAGGCTCGATGACATTTGTTAATTTACGTTTTCCAGCAATATACTTTTAATAATTAAAGCACTATTAAGTATAAGAAAAGGCCAAACTTTGTAGTTTTTCAACTAGGATAACTTAAAGTAATTAGGGGTAACATCTCGAAGATTGATGATTGTAGGAAGACTCGGAAAACCCTCTGACATTAGAACGATTGATGGGGAACGCTTAATCGGAAAAAGAAAACTCTTCTATAATCGAGTCGGCGATTCGGGGAAAAATCGAAAAGAAAATGAAAAAAAAAATCGTAAGACTTTTATCGGAAACGACTTATACTAACCGGCCGAAATACCTAAAAGTTTGGGAGAGCATCCCGTCCTCAGATTGTCATTTAAGTTGTACCGTGCCCTCTGAAAAACCTCCGCTAAGTGGAAAGTTGTAGGGGAGGAAAGTTTAGGATTCCCTTTTTGTTGTTGAGCAACTCAACTTATTAACATAATTAAGTCCTGGAAATTTCTCAACTAACAAGATAAGGTCCTTGCTACGTAAAGCCTAGAGTGGATTATTCATCGGAGGTGACTTTTCATGAACAGTTGAAGGCAATAAACATTATTTCTTAACATACAGGTACTAGGCATATATCTATATTAAGGAGAAAAACCTGGCGGTTGAGATTTAGCGAGATCTTGGCCCGATTTCATCAACAGTACTTACCCTAAATAGTACTGAACCCAAGACCCTTCATGGGTTGTAGTTTTTACATAACTTCGGTTATCTGGTTGCCGGCCATCTCGACATGCTTTGTACACATGTTAGACCATTCGGCCACCCCGCCCCATGTTGAAGAACGTTTGTAGTATAGGGTTAAATACGGTTTCTAGTGGAAAGATTAAGATGTTGGTGAGAACAAAATTACGCCCAATCTCTCGGGTTTTTCTCAATGAACTCCAAGATTGCACCATGGTTGATGTAACAAGATAAATAAATAAATAATTATCTTCCATAGACGGAATAAGACCCGACAAAAGCATACAGGGCACATATTAATAGTTCCTAACGATCTGAGCTACCTGCTCTTTTTCAAATCAATATCAATATTTTTTTTTTAACAGTTTAGCCCTGTTTTTTCTGCTACTTCTTTCAGCCGGATAATTTGTTCGATAGCTTCTTGATCGGATTCTGTAAATAAGGTTTGGTCGTCAGCAAAGGCTAGAAATTTAACTACAATGTTCTAGTTCTTTTTTTCTTATTTCTGCAATCGAATCATTATCTCCCCAAAAGTTTTTCATGATCTTATCTAAAACCAATTTAAAAAGTTTCGGTGAGAGGCTATTTCCATTCTTCAGTCCTATTTTATTTAGGATAGTTCACTGAACTGATTGAACAATTATAAATTAGATACCATATTCGATAGTATGAGTTTTATTAATTTTATGGGTTTTTGATCAACTTGATGTTCTTTTAATGGATCAAATAAGATTCCTCTGTCTACTGATTCGTAAGCTTTTTTTTTTTATTGTATGAATGAAATAAACTTAACTTTTTAGTCCTGTGTTTTATTATGTTCGTACAATGTTTAAACTGATCAGTTGTTCCAAACATGATCAAATTCATCTGAAGCCGCCCCGATGAGCTTTGAGTCAATCCGCGGTTCAAGTCTGTTTTAGAATTTGATTGGATTTTATATGTGACAGGTAACAATGCGATTCTTTTATATTTCATAATATCAATTCTTGAATTTTTATTTATGTAATAGATGAATCGATGCAACAAGCAAATTAACTGGATTTTTTTAAATCCCCTAACCTTCTGAAAGAATTTGGTATATTATGTTAAATATTCATTGGCAAGATTTTCATTATAATTGTTGTTACAATGTTCTAACCCGATACCCTATTATGTTTGAGCTTTTAATTTATTCTTTTTCGTGAAACAAAAGTTCAGTCTTTCTTTGAGTTTTTCACGATTTAATGACTTCAGAAATCATTCATTTTATTTCTAAATATCCTGTAGTATGGTCTCATATCGCTTTTCTTAAAGTTTTCTTCCATATTTGTTATTGTTATGTCTTTTTTCT